ATTTTGAAGGATGGTCTCCCATACCGGAAAGAACCCTGCAGGCGGAGGAAGCAGCAGGGTTAAATGCGGTCTGGACGGAGGAGGAAGTTAAGTCGACGTTTGCTGCATTGGCGAAAAACAAATCGCCAGGCAGTGATGGCTTACCGAAGGAATTCTTTGAAGTCAACTGGGACCTGTTGGGAGGGAGCTTCATGGCCCTAGTCAGAGACTTCACGGCTACCGGAGCTATGCCGAGGAAGGTCAAGGAGGCAATGACCATTCTCCTGCATAAGAAAGGAGGGAAGGATCAACTGAGCAATTATAGGCCGATCACCCTTCTATCCTTCGCTTACAAGATCCTCGCAAAAGTAATAGCGGACAGGGTTTAAAAAGTTCTACACCGGGTGATTTCGCCTGAGCAGTATGGGTTTATACCTGGGAGGAGGCTCACCGATGGGGTCGCGCTGGTAGCCGACATCATTTATGCAGCAAAAAATGGCGGAGAAGACTGGTACTTGCTATTCGTCGACTTCCAAATGGCCCTCGACTCAGTGTCGAGGGACTTCATTTTCCACGTGCTTCGACGCATGGGTTTCCCCCCCTCGGATGGTTACTTGGATAAGAGGCCCGCATGCCGGCACAACCACGAAGATGTTAGTCAACGGCTGGTTGGGCGCGGGGATTGAGGTGGTATCTGGAGTACGGCACACCCATACCCACGGCGCACACACACGGCACCCCCATAGCTGCCACCCCCACACTCCTCACCCCCAAACCCTAAAAACGGGCGGAACGGGGGAAGGAGCACGGGGGACGGCGAGGGGGACGGCGCGCGGCCCCCAGGACGCCACCACGGGGCAGCGAGGGGCCGCGCGCGGCTCCCCAGGGCGGCGCGACGGGAAATCGGGGGGGGGGGGGGGGGGGGGGGGGGGGGGGGGGCCGCGGGCGACGGGATCGCGGGGCCGCGGGCGACGGGATCGGGGGGCCGCGGGCGACGGGATCGCGGGGCCGCGGGCGACGGGATCGCAGGGCCGCGGGCGACGGGATCGGGGGGCCGCGGGCGACGGGATCGCGGGGCCGCGGGCGACGGGATCGGGGGGCCGCGGGCGACGGGATCGCGGGGCCGCGGGCGACGGGATCGGGGGGCCGCGGGCGACGGGATCGGGGGGACGCGGGCATCCCCCACGGGAGGAAACCGCCGCGCGCCTCGGGGCGCACGGCGGGGAGAAACCCGCCGCACGCCCCGAGCGCGCGGCGGGATGAAAAATCCGTAAAAAAAAATTCGCCGCGCGCTCCGCGGCCGGCAGGAAGGAGGCGTCGCGCGACCAGTAGAACAGCAGCGGAAGCATTTGGTGGTGGGCCCACCCACAGGATCGACCCAACAGGATCGTCCTGCTCTGATAGCATGTTGTGAGAATTAGGCAAAAGAGGAATGAACTAGCAAGAATGGGGATACAAATAGCAAACCCTAGAAGGGTTGTACTCGCTACAGAGCACCCCACTACAGGCTAGAGCATAATATTCTGACAGGGATGCCCGCTAGCTCTTTACCTTTTTCTCTGTGCGGTGGAGCCGCTGGTGCAGAAGGTGGAATCGAAGCAGTAGGGCCTGGATGTAGCAGGTCAGAGACTGTCGTACATGGGTTACGCGGACGACATGACGCTGGCCCTGCGAGGGAAAGAGCAGTTAGCGGAAGTTGAGGCCATTCTGGATACGTTCGAGAAGCAGTCGGGTTTGGCGACGAACAAAGCAAAATCCACCATCTTACCATTGGGGGCGAACCTGGGAAGAGACGATGGGGGCGCTTTCAAATGGGTGAAGCCGAAGGATGCTGAACTTCTGTTGGGAGTCTGGGTCACGCCCGATGGCAGCGGGCTGCCAACATGGGAAAAGGCACTGGAGGATATTTAAAGGTGGTTAGCACTGTGGAAGCAGAAATACCTATGGAGAAAGCGCGGGGGTTGGTCGCGAACGGATACATCCAGCCAGTAATGACCTTCTAGGCACAAGTATATCCGCCACCTGCATCGGTATGGAAGGAGATAGAAAAGCTGATACACAACTTTTTCTCCGGCGACACCGGACAAGGTGTTCCTACTCTGGAGTACAGAGCTGCTTTACACTCCGAGACATGAAGGCGGGCTGGGTGTTCATGACCCAAATATCACGTTGTCGTGCTTGGCGGCAAGGAGAGTCGGCTTGATGATGACGGAGGCGAATCAGCTCAAGCAGGAGCTGATGACGCGGGCAGCTGACCTCCCGTTGAAGCTGGACACCTTCACAGCACACGACCGGTTACTACGGCACTGGGAGGGACGGAGCCAAAGGTGGAAACAAACGTGTGAACTCTTCATGAAATCGCCCCTCAGCATACGGACGGTAGAGGCGACGAGACCGGAGGTGGCGAGAGAGAGGCTCGTGTTTAATCGGACCATCATGGTGGGAGTACGGTTCCGGTGGGAGGACAAAAAGATGCGGAGAAGCTGTGGGATTGGGTACTGGGTGACCTGGTACGGCGGCAGCAAGACGACACCAGCATGCTGAAATCCATGGCTGAGCTAACAGAGAAGCTAGGCGGGAAGGGCCCGGCCAAGCTAGCGCTGAGAGCTTTCGCAGCTGCACCAACAGAATGGAAGGAGGCCTTGCTGACCCCCTGCACGAGCTCGGCTGACTGGGGCTCAGCGAGCGGAACATCGCTTCCGCGCATCCCAATTTTCCGCGCATCGCTTCCGCGCTTCCGCGAGGGGAGGTGATTCCGCTGAAGCAGATGCAGGGACATTGGTCAGGGAAGCGTGGGATGTCTCAACGAATGATGCGCTGGACCGACAGGTAAAAAAGATTTTGGGATTTCGAGAGTCCCTGGTCACCCCGAGCAGACCGAGGGATGTACTCACGCGAGTGTATAACTTCAACCTCCAGGCGGGGGAAAGGCTGGCTTTCCTAAGCGACAAACCACTGTGCCCTCACTGCAAAGGAGAGGAGACCATGGAAAAATGTCTTTTCACCTGCCCGAAGATCCAGAGGGTGATATCGGCGCTCAAGCGAGCCCTCCGCCTGCTGAACCCACTTCGGCCCACGAACTCGCTAGAAGACTTGCTCTTCCGCAAAGCGGGGACTACCACAGTCTTCCTCGAAGCGACAATCATCGCGAATACACTGCACCAGGTCTGGCGGGAGCGGTGTGAAGCAGTGTTCCAGGGGCGCGAATTCCGAATGCGCCAAGTCTTGAGGCTGATCTTGATGGCTTTTCGGAAACATGCAAGGGTGTACACGAAAGCACGCTCGACAGCGTGGCAGAAGAGGAAAAAATCGGCGGACGCTGACAAGTTCATGAAGGGATTACTAGAGGAGCAACGTATGCTGAGCAGGATACGGCTGGCAGAAGATAAGAGATGGATATGGACCAGAGGTTTCGGGTCCATCTGGACCAATCTCAGAACGGTGTATAACCCACTTCAGAATCTTCGTTGGAGCAGACAGCCTATGCTCACTCACGGTTACGACCGTTATTGTTAGTGTGCACTTGTGTTTGTGGTGTCTACTTTCAATAAATAAATGAATGAATGAATGAATGAATAAATAAATAAATAAATAAATAGATAAATAAATAACTAATTAATTAATTATATATATAAATAAACGAGTTTTGCAATTTACTGTATAAGGACGCGCGCCCTTATCGGTTGCAATATGCATGGCTGGATATCTCGGTTCTGAAGTTTGGACATCATCTTAGTTTGGACACTTCGGTAGCAATGTGCACGTCTCATTAGTTTCTAACACTCCAAGATATCTGGAACCCTGTGTGTTGACCAATGATCGGGTCTTTAACACGTCATTGATGATCATCCTGGGTTTATGGTGTCCATACCTTGCCCAGCAACTGTGACCGAGTATCGGGTTTGGTACCCCGCATACTCCATTTCCAACATAGGGCCCAGTTCGGCAGGCATTATGGCCATTATCGCCATTATCGGCCATTTTAACGGGCCCCCAAAAAATGGCCCCAAGAAACAGACTGTAGCTGAAGTGAAACTTGGGAAAAAATGACCCGAGTGTTCGGTTGGCATTAAATGGGCCAAAAATAATGGCACCAGTCGGAAATGACACTTCGGGGAAGCCCGTATGCAGCTGCACTGATAGAGCGTGGAATCACTGTACGGGCAGCCCGGGCAGCCTCGCAAAGCAACGGTGGACGCCGAAAAAATTCGCACAAGGCATACTGTGCGTTCGATGTGTTAGAGATGGTGTGTTGGTGATGTGCGATTTTCCAGCGGGCACGAAGAGGGGTGAGAAAGACCGAGATTTGTTTTTTTCAGGGCAAAGTTGGATTTCCCCGAATCAATGATCCCCCGCATGGTGCGGGGCCTCGAGGCCGCATGGTGCGGCGGATGAGAAAATGGACAGTTTGCCTGAGAAAAAGGGTTCGAGGAAGGTTCCTCTTGTGAAAAATGCCAGCGTTAAAAGGGGTGTTCGGCTGGCATTCCATTATTGTCTGGTTCGGCGATGATCCGCTTATATCGAGCCTAGATAACCTTTCGCGCGCTTATCAAAGAAGGTTCCAGGGTGGTCGGTTTACTGTAGCCCATACGGGGAAACCGTTTTTTTAATGCCTGCCGAACTGGGCCTAGGCCTAGGCACATAGCGAGTACACACAAACCAACCCCTCCCGAAACCAATTTTTGACAGGCTGTCACTCGTGCGTGGCAACCTCATCGTTCTTGCATGGCGACTCGTCAGCTGGCGTTGTTCTCCCGCCGCGATGGACCGCCAACCGTACGCGCCGCGCTCGTCCTCTCGCTGTCTCCTGCCTCTCCAGGGCAGGACGACAGGGGCGTCCATTCGCGCGCCCCCTGCTGCTCCACACCTCAGGCCCTTCCTCCTTCCCTTCCACCTTCCACCTCATCCCCTCCCTCCTTCACACACTGGTCATGGCGTCCTCTCGTGCTGGTGGCGCCAGGGAGGGACACACCACTTTGCTCAGAGGAGCGGAACAACGCACGGGACGGCCGCGACGGCGAATGGTGAACGCGCTGACGGGCGGGTCGGCGCAAGGCGCTCTCCGCGGTAGCAAACTGCTGCGCAGCGAAGGGCGCGGATTCGCCGCCATGGCCCGCGCGGTGGTCGCCGCCGGCAGTGCTGCTGCGGCACTGATGCTGATTGCACCGAGAGTGGCGCAGGTAGCTTGGAGTGCGTACGGTTGGAATGAACCGCTACTCTACGATCCTTTTGTGCACATGAGTTTGGGAGCGCCGTGTGTGCCCTTCATGTCCCTCGTCGCCATAATCCTTGGCTCTGATGCGCGTGGCGTGCGTCCCTCACCCCGTGCCTTGCGTTCCCCGTGTGCTCACAGTGGGCGCGAGCAGCGCGCTCCGCGCATGGCCGCCTAACCCCTGCGCGCGCTCTGCACGCCTCCGCGGGCACTGGCGGCAGGGATGGCGGCAGACAAGGGCTGGCCACCCAGAGCAGTGACGAGGAGGGAAGGGCAGGGCGGCAGGTGGAAAAACGGGAGCAGGAGCAGAGGACGAGGGAGCAGCAGGGAGGAGAAGGGGCAGCAGCAACAGGGATAGCTGCGGAGGGTGTGGAGAGCGCGAGCATGGAGGGCAGCGGAGGGGACGGGCCGGTGGAGGCGCCGGGGCCGATTGAAATGCTGGCGCGCGGGCTGGCGTGCATCCAGGCCAACCTGGGCCCGTGGTCCGTGTCCGACCTCACCCTCGGCCTCGCCGTCATGGCCAAGGTCGCCCCGCCCGCTTCCCGCCACCCACCTTGTCCTGCCCCCGGCCTTCCCAGTTCATCCATGTGCCCCTTGCTCATGCTAATGTTGCTACCCCCTTCCCCTGCTCCTCTCATGCGCCCAGGTGACGGCAAAGCGCCCGCCTCCCCCGCCGCGGGGGCGAGTGGTGGCGCCTGCAGTGCTGGGCGTGGCGTACCTGGCGGAGTTGCAGCGCCTGAGGGCGCACGCGGAGGCCGTGTACTCGGGGGACAGCGCCACCTGGTCGCTGCAGGTCACCACTCCACCGCCCTCTCTTCCAACCCACTCGCAGAAAACGTGTCGCACACAGGGAGCATTCTGTATGAGCGAGGGTGTCTCATGTTTGGACAAGTGCTGCAGTCAATGGTGCTTTCAACGAATCTGAGGCACGTTTGTCTAAAGCTTTAGGAGTTGTTGCTCATCGATCGTCCACGACTTTCCATGATTACTGTGTCTCATAACTCGCACTGTTCTGGTTCTGGTCATTCTTCCCCATCGCACCTTCGGAACAGCAGTTTCTCGGTAAGCCACATGTGAGAGGTAAAAGTGCTGAACGATTGCAGCTGCAAGGCTTTTCCTCAACAATCTGGCCTAGAAGCAGCCCTCTTCTCGGCTCCCCTCTTCTCTCTCTGGTGGACCGTCGGGCCATCGTGTTCTCCCCCATGGTCTCTCTCAAATCCCCGTCTCTCCCGTCCCCGTGTGCGTGCAGACGTGTCTGCCGGAGTCGGCCATAGTGCATGCGCAGTGGCAGCCGCACAACCAGCGTGTGCGCCCGGCGTTTGTGGTGTGCGTGGACCCTCAGCTGGGGGCTGTGGTGGTGGCTGTGAGGGGCACCTCCGACACTGCTGACATGCTTGTCAATGCCGGCACCTTTCCCCACGATTTCCTGGGTGGCAAAGTGCACAGTGGCTTTCTGCATGCCTCTACACATTTGCTCTAGTAAGCAACTGCTCTTCCTGATCCAGTGTTTACCTACTTCACGTTCTACACACGATATGTGTCTTAACTGAATGTTTTCGCTTCAATCGCTCATGTGAAAGCACGCTGACACTTGTCTGACTCGCTGAGATCCTACAGCATCACAACTGCCCAGAGCTGAAATGTCATATTCTCTTGCCTCCCTCCCGCCTTGCAGTGAGGCTCGGGACCACATCGAGCACGCGCTGCGCACGTGGCATGGCATGCCGGTGCGGCGCCTTGTGTTCGTGGGGCACAGCCTGGGCGCGGCTGTGGCCATCTTGGCGGGCATGATGCTGCGCCATGAGAACAACCGCCTGCACCCCCACTCTCATGCACGGGGCACCACAGGTCATGGGCACGCATCAACACACAACTTGCATGCTGTGACAGGTAACAACCACTCTCATGCTGCTGCTGTCAAGCCGGCTGGCAGGCGTGGTGGCAGGGGGCGGAGGCCAGAGGGGCGGCAGCAGGAGATGGGATGGGCGGATGGGGAGTCAGAGGAGCTGCAGGAGGCAGCGGCTGAAGCAGTGGTGGGGGCAGGGAGGGGGTTGGATGGTGTGGAGGTGCAGTGTGTGGGGTACGGTCCGCCTGCATGCATGACTTTGGACTTGGCCCAGCAGTGCACGTCCTTTGTCACCTGTGTGCTGGTGCACCACGACTTAGTGCCTCGGTACGTGCATCGCTTGCCCAAACGCTTCTACCTCATGCTTTCCCAAGTGCTTCTGCTTGTCCTCGTTTGTCAAATGTTCACGTCCCATGCTACTACGTGTCCCACTCAACCGCTCACACGACTGCCTCCTGTGAGCCCCTGATGTGACGAACAGGTTCTCTCTGGCCAGTGTGGAGCTGCTGCGGCAGGCCATCAGCACGTTTGACTGGGACCGTGCGGAGGCAGTGGTGGGATGGCATGACGAGGACTGGCAGCGCCTCAAGGCGGCCAAGGACCTGCTCTCGCGCCTCAAGGACCTGCACAGCACGGCTGTGGGGGCAGCCGCAGCAGTGCAGGAAAGTGCAGTGTCAGCGGCAGCGGCTGTGCAGCAGTCGGCAGCAGGCGTAGCGGCCTCCGTGCAGCAGTCACCGCTGCTGGGGGCTGCAGTGGGGGCGGCTGGAGCAGTGCAGAGCCAGGCAATGGGTGCTGCAGCAGCGGTGCAGGGAGCTGCGGTGGCAGTGACGGGGGCGGCAGCTGGGCTGGGGGGCAAGGCACAGGAGCTCCAGCACGTGGTGGCCGAGAAGGTCCCTGAGCTCGTGGCTGATGCCCTTCCCCATGGGGTGGTGCAGCTCGTAGGGGGGGCCAGGGCGAAGCAGCAGGAGAATGCTGGAAAGGGCCAAAAGGGGGAGGCGAATGATGGGCAATTAAGGGGTGGGGAAGGTTGGGATGCTGTGGTTGAGGAGGATGGGGCAGGGAGTGCTGAAGGAGTTGACATGAAAACACAGGGGAAAAAGAAAGGGAAAGAGGCAGAGGAGGAATGGCAGGCAGATAAAGAGCGAGTGAAAACACAACACGTGGAGGGTGGGGAGGATGGCACTGGCTCTAGTAGCGACAGTGGTGAGGGCAGTAACATGAACGAGACTGGGGAAGCTGGAATGGAGGCTGTGGTGCAGAACAAGTGTGAGACGCAAGGTGAGAGAGGTGAGTGCAACGACGAGGGAAAGGCCGTGGGGGAAGGTAAGATGGCAGAAGCAACGGACAGCAACAAGAATGGGGGTTTTGAGGGGAGGGAGGGTAAATATGAGGGGGCTGAGGAGCCAGAGAGTGCTCATGAGAAGCAGCAGCAAGAGGATTTTGCGCCACCCCTTTATCCCCCTGGCCGTCTGCTAATGCTGTGCTGCGACCCCCCTGGTTGTGGTCATCGCCCCACCACTCGCAAGGAAGTGCATCCGCAGAGGCAGTTTGGTGTTTTCCCATCACACGAGGAGGTGGCGGGAGGCCACATGCGGTGGCAGGTGGTGGAGGTGCAGCAGGAGGCAGTGCGCGAGATAGTGGTGTCGCCGTGGTGCATCAGCGACCACATGCCAGGCACCATGGGCGAGGGGCTCAACTGGATCATGGCCCATGTGGGGGACGGCCAGGGGGGCACGGTGGACGACGGGAGGGATAATGGAGAACCAGGGGCAAAGGAGCGGGAAGAGTAGACAGCAAGTAGATGGTTGGCTGGTGAGGAGCGGTTGACGGATTCAGTACAACGCATTTTTCTTAACTGTGCTTACGTTTAAAACCGAAATGCAAAATAGTGAACCCCGACCCAGCTTGAAAAGGTGTTGCGACGAGAGAAAGGGATCGGGCCAACAAAGCACTGTACAACACAACAGAAGTGTTCAGATCGAACGAATGTGATTGGCTAGTGCAGAAGTATTTTTTTCTGGGCTCCCGCCAAAAGGAACATCACCCATCGCATCTCATCGTGCTGGACCCAACCGACCGTTGCAGGCGACGGTTTTGGTCGCTAAGCCCAACTATGGTTTCAAGCTGGAACTGGGTTCACGACGACTCTGTTTAGTTCTCCAGTAGTCACTACTGTGCCTAAGTTAGCTGAAATCTCAGTAGTTTCTGTTAAATTGTAATGTGTTATATGTTGGTAGGCTGTAGTGGGGTAGCCAATATGGGGTACAACCCCAACTAGGGTTTCATATTTGTACCCAAACTTCTGCTAGTTCATTCATTCTTGCCTAGTTATTCTGAGATGGTATTCAGAGCAGGAGGTCCCTAGGACCTACCGACCGTTTTTTTTTTTTTAGGGCCCACCACCGCTCGCATGCGGTTACCACGCTACCCCGTGCCCTAGCCTCGTAGCGCCCTCGTGCGCCCTCGTTAGCGCCCTCGCGCGCCCCTCGTTAGCGCCCTCGCGCGCCCCTCGTTAGCGCCCTCGCGCACCCTCGTTAGCGCCCTCGCGCGCCCCTCGTTAGCGCCCTCGCGCGCCCCTCGCTAGCGCCCTCGCGCGCCCCTCGCAGCGTCGCCCGCCCGCCGAGCCGCCCGCTCGCAGCGTCGCCCGCCCGCCACGCTGCCCGCTCGCCCCTCGCCCGCCGCGCTGCCTGCTCGCAGCGTCGCCCGCTCGCCCCGCTGCCCGCTTCGCAGCCCGCTCGCCCCGCTGCCCGCTTCGCAGCCCGCCCGCCCGCTCGCTGCCCGCTTCGCGGCCCGCCCGCTTCGCTGCCCGCTCGCAGCGCCGCCCGCCCGCCCGCTACCTGCTTCGCAGCGTCGCCCGCCCGCTTGCTGCCCGCTCGCAGCGTCGCCCGCCCGCCCGCTGCCCGCTTCGCAGCGTCGCCCGCTCGCTCGCTGCCCGCTTCGCAGCGTCGCCCGCTCGCTCGCTGCCCGCTCGCAGCGTCGCCCGCCCGCCCGCTGCCCGCTCGCAGCGTCGCCCTCCCGCCTCGCTGCCCGCTTGCAGCGTCGCCCGCCCGCCCGCTGCCCGCTTCGCAGCCGCCCGCCGCGCTGCCCGCTCGCAGCGTCGCCCGCCCGCCCGCTGCCCGCTTCGCAGCCCGCCCGCCGCACTTCCCGCCTGCAGCGCCGCCCGCCTCGCCTGCTGCTCCCTGCCTGTGCACCGCCGCTTGCTCCTGCTGTGGCTGCTAGCTTCGCTCTAGCGCGTCCCCTCTGCTGCTGCCGCTGCTCTGCTGTGCCCTCACGCCTGAGCTATGGCCTCTATTCGCGTTCTTTCCTTCGATGCTGAGGGCCGTCCCGTGCAGTTCACTTCCTGGCTCGACGACCTGCAGTTGTATCTTATGAGCAATAGCACGGACCACATCTCCCTCTATGACTACGCGTCTGGTGCTGCCGCTGCTCCTGCTGCCACAGCCGAGCTTAGTGTACGTTCACAGTGGCAGACTCGTGACGCTGCAGCTCGCCTGGCTATTCGCAGTCACCTGCCGTTAGCTGAGCTAGAGCACTTTGGCGACTGCAAAACCGCTAAAGCCCTATACGACGCTGTCGTTGCTCGCTACTCCTCACCTGCCACAGCCGAGCTTAGCCGTCTCATGCTGCCTTACCTGTTCCCTGACCTGTCCACCTTTGCTACAGTCGCCGATCTTATCACCCACCTTCGCACTAGTGATGCTCGCCTGCGTGCCGCCCTTCCCACCGAGTTCTGCGCTAAGAACCCCCCTCCCCTGTACTGGGCACTCCACTTCATAGTCACCCGTCTCCCTGACACCCTCAGCTCAGTGCGCGACTATTTCCTTGCTCGCTGTCCCACTGAGCTCACTGTCGCCCTCCTAGAGGAGAAGCTGCTAGCAGCCGAGAAGAGCATTGTAGCTGTTGGTGCTGCTCGCGGCGCTCCTCGCACCCCCATCTTTGAGGGGTGCTCTCCCTCTCCCCTCGCTCCCTCCTATGCTACTGCTGCTGCTGTTGACTTCCTTGGTGCTGAGTCTGCTGGCGCTGCTTCTGCTCCTAGTGGGAGGCGCCGCACCGGCAAGGGCAAGGGGGGCAAGGGTGGCGGGGGTGGCGCTGGGGGGGGAGGGGGTGGGGGAGGTGGGGGGGGAGGCGGTGCTGGAGGGAGCGGTGGCGGGAGTGCCGGTGGGAGTGGGGCCGGCGGCGGAGGCGGGGGCGGCGGCGGGAGCAGTGGCGGTGGTGGCAGCGGCGGCAGTGGCGGCGGTGGCGGTAGTGGCGGTGGCGGTGGCGGTGGTGGCGGTCGGAGCGGAGGTAGTGGCGGCGGTGGAGGTCGGAGTGGAGGCACCGGCTCGGGCCAGAGCTCCCAGCAGCAGCAGCGTCCCCAGTCGACCCAGCAGCTTCGTGAGTGGCTTGCTCAGCGTGGGACGTCGGGGGGCAGTGGCCGCTGTTCCTATGTCATTCGCACAGGTGATCGCAAGGGGCAGACGTGTGGAAAGTTCCACACTCAGTACCGCTGCTTCTTCCGCCTTGACGACGCTTGGCGTGAGGAGATGGGCGAGGATGTTGAGCGCCCTCGCTGGGCTGAGCTGATGAGGGCTGGTGTTGATATCTTTGCTCTTGACTATGATGCTATTATTGCTGCCATGTATGCATTGACTGTTAGTGCCGAGGGAGACTGTTACTTGTGTGTGCCGCCTGACCCAGGTATAGGGCCCGCTGCCCTAGGTACTAGTGAGTCTGCTCTCTCTGGTATGGTGCCCCCTGTACCTGCTCCCTCCAGCACTGTCCCTGCTGCTTGCGAGTCTGCTCTCTCAGGTACAGCACCCACAGAGACTGCTCTCTCAGGTACTGCACCGGCTGAGACCTGTCACACCTTCACCCTTGACTCAGGTGCTTCCCGCTGCTTCTTTCGAGACAGTACTGAGCTCACACCGCTTCCTGCACCGGTCCCAGTCTCCTTGGCTGACCCCTCTGGGGGCCCAGTCCTTGCCCAGTCCACCACTGTCCTCCCTTGTCCGGCGGTTCCGTCTGGCTCGTTGACGGGTTTCCACCTCCCCTCGTTCTCGACGAACCTGGTGAGCAACGCTGTCATCCAGGATCAGTGGGTTGACACCTTTACCCCTGGAGGACAGCGTGTGGCGATCTGCACGTGCTCCAGGACCGGCCGTCACCTGGCTACGTTTACTCGTCGGCCGGGGTCGAGTCTCTACACACTGACCACTGCGTCTCCTCAGGTCGCTGCTGTCGGTCAGGTGTCCGCGTCAGGTCTGGTGGCCCACGCCTGTGAGTGTCGTTCCCTGTCGCACCAGACTCTTCTCTGGCACCACCGCCTGGGTCACCCCTCCTTGCCACGCCTCCGTGGCATGCACCGTCGCCGCCTTGTGTCTGGTCTTCCCAGGTCCCTCCCTCCTCTCCCTTCCTCGCCTGCGCCGCCTTGCCTTCCTTGCGTCGAGGGGCGGCAGCGCGCCGCTCCTCACTCCTCCTCGTTCCCCCCGACAGGGGCTCCTCTGCAGACCCTCCACCTGGACGTGTGGGGCCCAGCCCGCGTTCGTGGCCAGGGCGGTGAGCGGTACTTTTTGCTGGTTGTCGACGACTACTCGCGTTACACCACGGTCTTCCCCTTGCGCACCAAGGGTGAGGTCCCTGCTGTTCTGATCCCTTGGATCCGCACAGTTCGTCTCCAGCTCCGCCGCCGTTTCCGGACGGATCTTCCTGTCCTGCGTCTGCACTCTGACAGAGGTGGTGAGTTTTCCTCCGACCTCTTGAGGACCTTCTGTCAGGCGGAGGGCATTGAGCAGACCTTCACGCTTCCGGACTCCCCACAGCAGAATGGGGTTGCTGAGCGCCGCATTGGCCTGGTCATGGAGGTCGCTCGTACCTCCTTGGTCCATGCGGTGGCTCCCCATTTTCTGTGGCCGTTTGCTGTCCGGTACGCCGCGCATCAGCTCAACCTCTGGCCCCGTGTCTCCTTGCCGGAGACCTCGCCCACACTGCGTTGGACGGGGGAGGTTGGCGATGCGTCGCGCTTCCGGGTGTGGGGTGCTCGTGCCCTTGTCCGCGATACGTCCGCGGACAAGCTCTCCTCCCGCACGCTTCCCTGTGTCTTCCTTGGCTTTGTCCCTGACGCGCCGGGCTGGCAGTTTTACCACCCCACCTCGCGCCGGGTCTTCGCCTCTCAGGACGTCACCTTTGACGAGTCGGTCCCTTTTTACCGTCTCTTCCCCTACCGTACTGCCCCCCTCCCTCCCCCGCCGCTTTTCCTTGCTCCTGGTCCCCCTCCGGTAGACCCCCTTCCCCCTCAGGGTCCTGCTCCTTCAGGTGTCTCTCAGGTAGACCCTCCTCCCGTCGCTGAGCCTGTCGAGGTCACAGGTGACTCAGGTGCTGCTGCAGGTGGTGCTGCTGGGAGTGCTGAGCCTGCGGGTGCTGGGCCTGGGGGTGCTGGGACTACGGGTGCTGGAGCTGAGGGTACTGTGCCTGAGAGTTCGGCGCCTGGGGGTACTGAGCCTGGGGGTGCTGCGACTGGGGGTGCTGAGCCGGCGTGTGCGGAGTCTGGGGGTGCTGAGTCTGGGGGTGCTGCGCCTGCGGGTACTGCGCCTGGGGGTGCTGCTACTGAGCCTACGGAGCCTCGGGTTGCTGCGTCTGGGGGTGCTCCGGTTCGGGGTGCTGAGCAGTCTCTCACACCACAGCAGCTTCGTGACTGGTACGTCCGGCGCTTTCGCCGTCCTAGTGGCTCGGCTGGAGCTGGGGGTACTGGAGCTGCCGGGACTGGTTGTTCTGGGAGCACTACGACTGGAGCTGCTGGAGCTGGGGACTCTGGAGCTGGCGGCGCTAGCGGAGTTGTAGCTGCCGACTCTGGGGGTGCTCTTCCTTGCGGTGCTGCGGACCCTGGGGGTGGTGCTGCTGCTGGTGCTGCGGACCCACCTGGTGGAGCTGCTGCTGGAGCTGAGGACCCGAGCGGTGGCGCTGCTGCTGGTGCTGGGGACCCGGACGCTGGAGTCTCTTCTGCTTCTGGAGACGCTGCGCGGCCGCGGCCGTACTTCGTACCGCTCCTTCAGCAGGTTCTTGGGCAGGCTCCTCCTCCTTGTCCTCCTCCCTCCGTAGAGTGTCCTCCGACTGTCCAGCCGCAGTCACAGTTACCGCCTGCCTCGCCTCTCCCTGCTCCCTCTCCTTACACTGGTCCCACAGGAGGTCTTACAGAGCGTCGTGAGCCTGAGTCTCGTCCTGCGTCGCCTGTCCGTACTGCTCGCACTGGTCGTCGTGTCCGTCGTGAGCGTCCTCCTCCTGTCCCAGGCACTCACTACATGACTCTGCGTCCCTCTACTGCTCCTCAGCGTGTCCCTCTGCCGTCTCCTCCTGCGTCCTCTTTGCCTGCTGTTCCGGACCCTGCGTCTGACCGGTATCGTGCTGAGCACCCTACTGTCACGCGTCTCCTAGCTACTGTTGTCACTGACCCTACCTTTGAGTCCTCGGCTGCGTCTGCTCTGGTCGCTGAGTTGGTTGACTTTGCTGCTGCCTGTCGTCTAGACTACGCTGCTCGCCTTGTTACTGGGTCTGGGTCTGCGTCTGTCTGTCCTCCGTCCGTCGGGGGTGAGTGTGCTCTTGGCACGGACGTCCTTGAGGACAGGCAGGAGGACTTTGACTCTCTTGCGGCTGCTGTACCTCATCTCGTGGCCTCGTTGCTTGCCCCTGAGGGAGACCCGGATGCACTAGACATCCCCACTCCGCGCTCTTACACAGAGGCGATCTCGGGTCCCTACTCCTCTCAGTGGCAGACAGCCATGGACGCAGAGATGGCATCCTGGAAGTCCACAGGCACTTACGTCGACGAGGTTCCCCCCCCTGGGGCGAACATCGTCGATGGCATGTGGATTTTCAGGGTGAGCCAGGTTCTCCGCCTGTCTTCAAGGCTCGTTACGTTGCTAGAGGCTTCAGTCAGCGTCAGGGGGTCGACTTCTTCCAGACCTTCTCCCCCACCCCGAAGATGACCACTCTTCGGGTTCTGCTGCACGTTGCTGCTCAGCGTGACTACGAGCTTCACTCTCTTGACTTCAGCACAGCGTTCCTGCAGGGCAGCCTGCACGAGGAGATCTGGCTGCGCCGCCCACCTGGCTTTACTGGGTCGTTTCCTCCTGGTACCCAGTGGAGCCTCCGCCGGCCAGTCTACGGTCTCCGCCAGGCGCCACGCGAGTGGCACGACACACTGAGGACTACACTTGCGGCTCTTGGGTTCGCGCCGTCTACTGCTGACCCGTCGCTGTTTCTGCGCACAGACACGTCGCTGCCGCCGTTCTACATTCTCGTGTACGTCGACGACTTGGTCTTTGCTACTGCTGACACTGAGGCACTCGCTCGTGTGAAGTCGGAGCTGCAGAAGAGACACACCTGCACTGACCTGGGTGAGCTGCGTAGCTACCTTGGCTTGCAGATCACCCGGGACAGAGCTCGCCGCACCATCACCCTGACTCAGTCACACATGGTGCAGCAGGTCCTTCAGCGCTTCGGCTTCCAGTTCTCCTCACCACAGGCCACACCTCTGGCTACCAGCCACTCGCTCTCAGCTCCACCTCCGGACGAGTCCGTAGAGCCGAGTGGCCCGTACCCAGAGCTTGTGGGCTGCCTCATGTACCTGATGACTTGCACGCGACCTGACCTCGCGTACCCTCTTAGCATCCTTGCTCGTTACGTTGCGCCTGGGAGACACAGGCGAGAGCACTGGGAGGCTGCTAAGAGGGTGCTGCGCTACTTGTGCAGTACATCAGGCATGGGGCTGGTGCTTGGAGGACGCGACAGAGTTGTCCTCACTGGCCACTCGGACGCTTCTTGGGTGGATGACCTGGCTACGCAGCGGTCGTCACAGGGTTACACCTTCAGCCTTGGCTCTGGTTCTGTCTCGTGGCGGTCCACCCGCTCTTCCTCTGTTCTCGGCTCTAGTTTTGAGGCTGAGATCTACGCCACAGCCATGGCTGCACAGGAGTTACGCTGGCTCACCTACCTGCTGACTGACTTGGGAGAGCGGCCTAGTTCTCCTCCAGTTCTGTACGGTGACAACAAGGCGGCTCTTGCCTTGTGTCAGGAGCACAGACTGGAGCACAGGACGAAGCACATTGCTCTTCGCTACTTTCTTGCTCGAGAGCTTCAGCAGCGCGGTCAGCTTCGGCTTGTGTACGTGGACTCGAAGGCCAACACTGCTGATATCTTCACCAAGGCGCTCCCGCCTAGTGATCATCAGCGGCACTGTACTTCTTTAGGCCTTGTGTCCACGTTTCCTCACTTGCTCACTGCTTGACATTCTTTGTACTGTACTTTATATATATCTTGTTGCTTGCTTGCTAGGTTTTGATCACTGTGTTGCTTGTCTTGTACTATATCTAGCACTGCATGTGAACTGGCCTTGTGGCCTTTGCTTGTGCTCGGAGTGTGGTGACGTTGTGATCCACCCTGGGCTTGCGTTGCTTTGCTGGACTGGTCTTGTGACCCTTTGTTCTCCCCCACTTTGCCTATGGGGGTGTGTTAAATTGTAATGTGTTATATGTTGGTAGGCTGTAGTGGGGTAGCCAATATGGGGTACAACCCCAACTAGGGTTTCATATTTGTACCCAAACTTCTGCTAGTTCATTCATTCTTGCCTAGTTATTCTGAGAGTTTCTCGTGACCCAGGCCCAACGCGACATCTTCCATAGTTCGAGTGTGTTATCTTTCGACATAGCTTGGGTACGCAATGTATTATGTACACCACTAGCGTAACGCCATCGCTTTCCGTGGCGCGCAAACATCAATATCCCGTCACCCTCGACTACGCTCGCTCCTTCCTCGCCGCGTCACCCTCACGTTCTCTCTCCCCGCGCAATCTTCGTCCCCCTCCCTTCCCATCGTTCCTTCATTGTTACCCTCCATTTCCATCGCCCCCATTGTCCCTGCTCCCTTCTCGTCGCCCTCCCTACCGACTGATCAGCCCTCCGTCGCCCTTCCACTCTCCCGTCGCCCTCCCTCTCTCCGCGCCCTTCCCATCTCCTTCGCTCTCTTCCCTCCCTTCACTCATCGCCCTCCCTCTCTCCGCGCCCTTCCCATCTCCTTCGCTCTCTCCCCTCCCTCCCCGTCGCCCTCCCTCTCTCCGCGCCCTTCCCATCTCCTTCGCTCTCTCCCCTCCCTCCCTCGCCCTCTCTCTCTACTCGCCCTTCCCGTCGCCGTCGCTCTCTCCTCCCCCACCCAACCTCCCCTCCCATCGCCCAACTCGTCGCCGTCGCGCTCGATCTGGAACGCCCTCCCCGCGCCCTTCGTACTCTCGAATCATCCACGCGCTTCGTACCTCGTCGTCCTCACGCTCAGCCGAAATGCTCGCCCGTCGCATTTCGTATTTCCCTTCCCATCACCGACCTCGTCGCCTTCACGCTCTCCTCGAAATGCCATCCCGTCACCCTTCTTCTCTCCCCTCCCATCACTCATCTCGTCGCCCTCGCGCACTACCATTCCGCGATTTTGCTCTCACATTTCTCTGCACGCGTCCTTGTTTCCGTCGCCCTATCTCTCTCGTATCTCGTCACATTGAAACTCTCTGTTGTTTTTCTCTTGTCTTTCCTACGCTGTGATTGCAGGCCTTGCAGGCACATGTGTGAGTGGCAATTACTCTGCCTGAATTGCACATGCAAGCACTAGTCGAAATTGGCACGCAATGTGTATGGGATTTGCACGTCGCAACCTTGCGACATTTGCCCATGCTTGCGACGGATTGTTGTTTGATAAAAAATTGTGAAAGACTCAACAAGTGTTTCTCGCGTCAGTGAAAATATTTTGGTAAAACACTTCAACTTTCCAAAGTGAGTTTGAGACTTCAAGTGGACCCAACTAGAAGGGGGGGTCACTATTTTAGCTGCTGGCTTTAACTTTGGAACAGCTGTGCCTGCTGTAGCTCCATAGTGTTGGAATGGTTGCTTTGCTTGTTAATTGTTCATCCTATCTTTCCGGTGTTTAACTGTTAAACTGTATAATGTATGCTTGTAGGTTGTAGTGGGGTAGCCAATATGGGGTACAACCCCAACTAGGGTTTGCTACTTGTACCCAATTCTTCCATTCAATGCATCATTCTTGCCTAGTTCTTTTCACATGGTATTCAGAGCAGGAGGTCCCTAGGACCTACCGACCGTTTTTTTTAAGGGCCCACCACCGCTCGCATGCGGTTACCACGCTACCCCGTGCCCTAGCCTCGTAGCGCCCTCGTGCGCCCTCGTTAGCGCCCTCGTGCGCCCTCGTTAGTGCCCTCGCGCGCCCTCGTTAGCGCCCTCGTGCGCCTCTCGTTAGCGCCCTCGCGCGCCCTCGCTAGCGCCCTCGCGCGCCCTTGTTAGCGCCCTCGTGCGCCTCTCGTTAGCGCCCTCGCGCGCCCCTCGCAGCGTCGCCCGCCCGCCGAGCCGCCCGCTCGCAGCGTCGCCCGCCCGCCCGCTGCCCGCTTCGCAGCGTCGCCCGCCCGCCGTGCTGCCCGCTCGCAGCGTCGCCCGCCCGCCTCGCTGCCCGCTTGCAGCGTCGCCCGCCCGCCCGCTGCCCGCTTCGCAGCCCGCCCGCCGCGCTGCCCGCTCGCAGCGTCGCCCGCCCGCCCCGCTGCCCGCTTCGCAGCCCGCCCGCCGCGCTGCCCGCTCGCCGCGTCGCCCGCCCGCCTCGCTGCCCGCTTGCAGCGTCGCCCGCCCGCCCGCTGCCCGCTTCGCAGCCCGCCCGCCGCGCTGCCCGCTCGCAGCGTCGCCCGTCCGCCCGCTGCCCGCTTGCAGCGCTGCCCGCCCGCCCGCTGCCCGCTTCGCAGCCCGCCCGCCGCGCTGCCCGCTCGCCGCGTCGCCCGCCCGCCCCGCTGCCCGCTTCGCAGCCCGCCCGCCGCACTTCCCGCCTGCAGCGCCGCCTGCCCACCGCGCTGCCCGCTTCGTAGCCCGCCCCCCGCACTGCCCGCTCGCCGAGTCGCCCGCCCGCCGCGCTTCCCGCCGAGCTACCTACCTGCAGCGCTGCGGCAGCTTCCTTTGCTCAGTCGCACTGTCACTATGGCTTCCATCCGCGTGCTGTCGTTCGATGCTGAGGGCCGCCCTGTGAAGTTCGCAACTTGGCTGGACGACCTGCAGCTGTTCCTTCTGAGCGATAGCAAGGAGCATGTGTCGCTCTATGATTACGCGTCTGGTGCTGCACCTGCCCCTCCTGCCACAGCTGAGCTTAGTGTTCGTTCCCACTAGCAGACTCGTGACGCAGCTGCTCGCCTAGCCATTCGCAGTCACCTGCCGCTAGCTGAACTCGAGCATTTTGGCGACTGCAAATCCGCTAAGGCCCTGTACGATGCTGTCGTTGCTCGCTACTCCTCGCCTGCCACAGCCGAGCTTAGCCGCCTCATGCTGCCGTACCTGTTCCCTGAGCTGTCCACCTTTGCTACAGTCGCCGATCTTATCACCCACCTTCGCACTAGTGATGCTCGCCTGCGTGCTGCCCTTCCCACCGAGTTCTGCGCTAAGAACCCCCCTCCACTGTACTGGACACTCCACTTCATAGTCACCCGACTCCCTGACACCCTCAGCTCAGTTCGAGACCACTTCCTTGCTCGCTGTCCCACTGAGCTCACAGTCGCCCTCCTAGAGGAGCACCTGCTAGCGGCCGAAAAGAGCATTGTAGCTGTCGGTGCTGCTCGTGGCGCTCCTCGCACCCCCATCTTTGAGGGGTGTTCTCCCTCTCCCCTCGCTCCCTCCTACGCTACTGCTGCTGCTGTTGACTTCCTTGGTGCTGAGTCTGCTGGCGCTGCTTCTACTCCTGGTGGGAGGCGCCGCACCGGCAAGGGCAAGGGGGGCAAGGGTGGCGGGGGTGGCGCTGGGGGGGGAGGAGGTGGGGGGGGGGGGGGGGGAGGCGGTGCTGGAGGGAGCGGTGGCGGGAGTGCTGGTGGGAGTGGGGTCGGCAGCGGAGGCGGGGGCGGCGGAGGGAGCGGTGGCGGTGGTGGCGGCGGCGGCGGTGGCGGCGGCGGCGGCGGGTGGCGGTGGCGGCGGCGGCGGTGGCGGTCGGAGCGGAGGTAGTGGTGGTGGCGGAGGTCGGAGTGGAGGCACTGGCTCGGGCCAGAGCTCCCAGCAGCAGCAGCGTCCCCAGACGACCCAGCAGCTTCGTGAGTGGCTTGCTCAGCGTGGGACGTCGGGGGGCAATGGCCGCTGTTCCTATGTCATTCGCACAGGTGACCGCAAGGGACAGACGTGTGGGAGGTTCCACACCCCGTACCGCTGCTTCTCCCGCCTTGACGACGCTTGGCGTGAGGAGATGGGCGAGGATGTTGAGCGCCCCCGCTGGGCTGAGCTCATGAGGGCTGGTGTTGATATCTTTGCTCTTGACTATGATGCTATTATTGCTGCCATGTATGCATTGACTGTTAGTGCCGAGGGAGACTGTTACTTGTGTGTGCCGCCTGACCCAGGTATAGAGCCCGCTGTCCTGGGTACTAGTGAGTCTGCTCTCTCTGGTATGGTGCCCCCTGTACTTGCTCCCTCCAGTGCTGTCCCGACTGTTTGCGAGTCTGCTCTCTCAGGTACAGCACCCACAGAGACTGCTCTCTCAGGTACCGCACCGGCTGAGGCCTGTCACACCTTCACCCTTGACTCAGGTGCTTCCCGCTGTTTCTTTCGTGACAGTACTGAGCTCACACCGCTTCCTGCACCGGTCCCAGTCTCCTTGGCTGACCCCTCTGGGGGCCCAGTCCTTGCCCAGTCCACCACTGTGCTCCCTTGTCCAGCGGTTCCGTCTGGCTCGTTGTCGGGTTTCCACCTCCCCTCGTTCTCGACGAACCTGGTGAGCAACGCTGTCATCCAGGATCAGTGGGTTGACACCTTTACCCCTGGAGGACAGCGTGTGGCGATCTGCACGTGCTCCAGGACCGGCCGTCACCTGGCTACGTTTACCCGTCGGCCGGGGTCGAGTCTCTACACACTGACCACTGCGTCTCCTCAGGTCGCTGCTGTCGGTCAGGTGTCCGCGTCAGGTCTGGTGGCCCACGCCTGTGAGTGTCGTTCCCTGTCGCACCAGACCCTTCTCTGGCACCACCGCCTGGGTCACCCCTCCTTGCCACGCCTCCGTGGCATGCACCGTCGCAGCCTTGTGTCTGGTCTTCCCAGGTCCCTCCCTCCCCTCCCTGCCTCGCCTGCGCCGCCTTGCCTTCCTTGCGTCGAGGGGCGGCAGCGCGCCGCTCCTCACTCCTCCTCGTTCCCCCCGACAGAGGCTCCTCTGCAGACCCTCCACCTGGACGTGTGGGGCCCTGCCCGCGTTCGTGGCCAGGGCGGTGAGCGGTACTTTTTGCTGGTTGTCGACGACTACTCGCGTTACACCACGGTCTTCCCCTTGCGCACCAAGGGTGAGGTCCCTGCTGTTCTGATCCCTTGGATCCGCACGGTTCGTCTCCAGCTCCGCCGCCGTTTCCGGACGGATCTTCCTGTCCTGCGTCTGCACTCTGACAGAGGTGGTGAGTTTTCCTCCGATCTCTTGAGGACCTTCTGTCAGGCGGAGGGCATCGAGCAGACCTTCACGCTTCCGGACTCCCCACAGCAGAATGGGGTTGCTGAGCGCCGCATTGGCCTGGTCATGGAGGTCGCTCGTACCTCCTTGGTCCACGCGGCGGCTCCCCATTTTCTGTGGCCGTTTGCGGTTCGGTACGCCGCGCATCAGCTCAACCTCTGGCCCCGTGTCTCCTTGCCGGAGACCTCGCCCACACTGCGTTGGACGGGGGAGGTTGGCGATGCGTCGCGCTTCCGGGTGTGGGGTGCTCGTGCCCTTGTCCGCGATACGTCCGCGGACAAGCTCTCCTCCCGCACACTTCCCTGTGTCTTCTTTGTTCCTGACGCGCCGGGCTGGCAGTTTTACCACCCCACCTCGCGCCGGGTCTTCGCCTCTCAGGACGTCACCTTTGACGAGTCGGTCCCTTTTTACCGTCTCTTCCCCTACCGCACTGCCCCCCTCCCTCCCCCGCCGCTTTTCCTTGCTCCTGGTCCCCCTCCGGTAGACCCCCTTCCCCCTCAGGGTCCTGCTCCTTCAGGTGTCTCTCAGGTAGATCCTCCTCCCGTCGCTGAGCCTGTCGAGGTCACAGGTGACTCAGGTGCTGCTGCAGGTGGTGCTGCTGGGAGTGCTGAGCCTGGGGGTGCTGAGCCTGCGGGTGCTGGGCCTGGGAGTGCTGGGACTGCGGGTACTGGAGCTGAGGGTACTGTGCCTGGGAGTTCGGCGCCTGGGGGTGCTGAGCCTGGGGGTGCTACGACTGGGGGTGCTGAGCCTGCGTGTACGGAGTCTGGGGGTGCTGAGCCTGGGGGTACTGCGCCTGAGGGTACTGGGCCTGGGGGTGCTGCTGCTGAGCCTACGGAGCCTGGGGTTGCTGCGTCTGGGGGTGCTCTTCCTGGCGGTACTGGAGCTGCTGGAGCTGACGACGCTGGAGCTGACGGTTCTGGACACGGTGGTCCTGCTGGTTCTGGAGGTGCTGGCGAGGGGAGGTCTGTCGCTGCTGGGGCCTCTGGTGCTGACGTCGCCGACTCGGGGGGTGCTGTGGCGGAGGGTGCTGGTCCAGGTGCTTCTGGTGCTCCGGGTGCTGGAGGTGCTGGCGGAGCTCCGCCGTCGCGCCTGTTCTTCGCTCCTCCGTCGCCGTCGGCTTTGCCGCCGCCTGACACGGTTCTTCGCCAGGTTCTTTCCCTCCCGTCTTCCACTGGCCTTCCCCTTCAGCCTGGCTCCCCCCTCCCTGCTCCTGTGCCTTATACTGCACAGCCGGACTCGCTTACGGAGCGTCGTGAGCCTGCGTCTCGTCCTGCCTCGCCTGTTCGCGCTGCTCGCGCTGCTCGCACTGCGCGCACTGGTCCCACTGGTCGTCGTGTCGCGCGTCCGCGTCCTCCTCCTGTTCCTGGCACGCATATTATGGCCCTTCGTCCTTCCACTGGTCCACAGCGTGTCCCCCTACCGTCTCCTCCTGCGTCTTCTCTTCCTGACGTTCCCGACCCTGAGTCAGACAGTATTCGTGCTGCCCACCCTACTGTTACGCGTCTTCTCGCCACTGTTGTCACTGACCCGTCGTTTGAGTCTGCTGCTGCGTCTGCCCTGGTCGCTGAGCTTGTCGACTTTGCTGCTGCCTGTCGTCTAGACTACGCCGCCAGTCTTGTTGCCGGGTCTGAGTATGTCTGTCCTCCGTCCGTCGGGGGTGAGTGTGCTCTTGGCACGGACGTCCTTGAGGACAGGCAGGAGGACTTTGACTCTCTTGCGGCTGCTGTACCTCATCTCGTGGCCTGGTTGCTTGCCCCTGAGGGAGACCCGGATGCACTAGACATCCCCACTCCGCGCTCTTACGCAGAGGCGATCTCGGGTCCCTACTCCTCTCAGTGGCAGACAGCCATGGACGCAGAGATGGCATCCTGGAAGTCCACAGGCACCTACGTCGACGAGGTTCCCCCTCCTGGGGCGAACATCGTCGATGGCATGTGAATTTTCAGGGTGAAGCGGCCGCCAGGTTCTCCACCTGTCTTCAAGGCTCGTTACGTTGCTAGAGGCTTCAGTCAGCGTCAAGGGGTTGACTTCTTCCAGACCTTCTCCCCCACCCCGAAGATGACCACTCTTCGGGTTCTGCTACACGTTGCTGCTCAGCGTGACTACGAGCTTCACTCTCTTGACTTCAGCACAGCGTTCCTGCAGGGCAGCCTGCACGAGGAGATCTGGCTGCGCCGCCCACCTGGCTTTACTGGGTCGTTTCCTCCTGGTACCCAGTGGAGCCTCCGCCGGCCAGTCTACGGTCTCCGCCAGGCGCCACGTGAGTGGCACGACACACTGAGGACTACGCTTGCAGCTCTTGGGTTCGCGCCGTCTACTGCTGACCCGTCGCTGTTTCTGCGCACAGACACGTCGCTACCGCCGTTCTACATTCTCGTGTACGTCGACGACTTGGTCTTTGCTACTGCTGACACTGAGGCACTCGCTTGTGTGAAGTCGGAGCTGCAGAAGAGACACACCTGCACTGACCTGGGTGAACTGCGTAGCTACCTTTGCTTGCAGATCACCCGGGACAGAGCTCGCCGCACCATCACCCTGACTCAGTCACGCATGGTGCAGCAGGTCCTTCAGCGCTTCGGCTTCCAGTTCTCCTCACCACAGGCCACACCTCTGGCTACCAGCCACTCGCTCTCAGCTCCACCTTCGGACGAGTCCGTAGAGCCGAGTGGCCCGTACCCAGAGCTTGTAGGCTGCCTCATGTACCTGATGACTTGCACGCGACCTGACCTCGCGTACCCACTTAGCATCCTTGCTCGTTACGTTGCGCCTGGGAGACACAGGCGAGAGCACTGGGAGGCTGCTAAGAGGGTGCTGCGTTACTTGTGCAGTACATCAGGCATGGGGCTGGTGCTTGGAGGACGCGACAGAGTTGTCCTCACTGGTCACTCGGACGCTTCTTGGGTGGACGACTTGGCTACGCAGCGGTCGTCACAGGGTTACACCTTCAGCCTTGGCTCTGGTTCTGTCTCGTGGCGGTCCACCCGCTCTTCTTCTGTTCTCAGCTCTAGTTGTGAGGCTGAGATCTACGCCACAGCCATGGCTGCACAGGAGTTACGCTGGCTCACCTACCTGCTGACTGACTTGGGAGAGCGGCCTAGTTCTCCTCCAGTTCTGTACGGTGACAACAAGGCGGCCCTTGCCTTGTGTGAGGAGCACAGACTGGAGCACAGGACGAAGCACATTGCTCTTCGCTACTTTCTTGCTCGAGAGCTTCAGTAGCGCGGTCAGCTTCGGCTTGTGTACGTGGACTCGAAGGCCAACACTGCTGATATCTTCACCAAGGCGCTCCCGTCTAGTGATCATCAGCGGCACTGTACTTCTTTAGGCCTTGTGTCCACTTTTCCTCATTTGCTTACTGCTTGACTTTCTTTGTACTGTACTTTATATATATCTTGCTGCTTGTCCTGTTCTATATCTAGCACTGCATGTGAACTGGCCTTGTGGCCTTTGCTTGTGCTCGGAGTGTGGTGACGTTGTGATCCACCCTGGGCTTTGCTTTGCTTTGCTAGACTGGTCTTGTGACCCTTTGTTCTCCCCCACTTTGCCTATGGGGGTGTGTTAAACTGTATTATGTTTGTAGGCTGTAGTGGGGTAGCCAATATGGGGTACAACCCCAACTAGGGTTTGCTACTTGTACCCAATTCTTCCATTCAATGCATCATTCTTGCCTAGTTCTTTTCACATTAACATCCCACTCTCACTTTACATACAGATTAGATGAAGGTTTCCTTTTATTCCCCCCTACCCAACGAGCACAGTTACCGTAGTATTGGTACTGGTATCATTCATGGAAGAGGCCAAAACATTTATTCTTAGTCTCATGCAGCTCATGTGGGGGTCTAGGCTAGAGGTGGTTGCAATGTGCATGAATGAGGGGAACCTATGCTAGCCTGTTAGAGCACAAAACTGCCATTAGTGCCGCGGTTCTGAGTTAGCACATTTGTAGACACGCGGAGATTTGTCAGCGGAGCACGCCGTCCATCATGCCCTTGAATTCCGAGAAGTTAACTCGGCCGTCTCTGTTCACGTCCACTCGAGCAATCATCATGCGACACTCCTCCATACTGAGCTTGTCGCCGCTCAGCATGCGCATGGCTTTCTGAAGCTCCTCCGCGGTGATGCTGCCGTCGCCGTCGTGGTCGAACAGCTCGAATGCCTTGCGTAAGTCCCCCTCATCTTCCTCCGCCTCCCCCACCATACCGTCTGCCCCGCCGCCACGTGCGGCAGCGTGGTTAAGCGACGAGTGCACGAACTCTTCAAAGTCAATCAGTCCGTCGCCGTTGGTGTCCGCCTTCGCCATCAGCTCCTGCATCGCCGACTCGTCCGCCCACCCCATGCGATCCAGAACCTGTCTCAGCTCCTGAGGGGAGATTTTGCCATCGCCATTCACGTCGAGCACCCTGAACGCCTGCAGGACCTCATGGTTCCTAGAGGCGGCCTCCACCGAAGCCTGGCCCTGCATCTGTGTCGCATCAGCGGGCTTCACTCGCCAAGGTGGGCACGATAGGGCTCGAACCGTCAAGAAATCGAGACGCCGAAGAGAACCCTAGGTAACTCGAAGCCTCTTCTACCATCGGGTACTGACACCGAAGGCAATGGAATGGGGTAGGATGAGTGGGTGGGAGGCTGCGCTGGACTCACAGTGGAACTTCGGGCGGGATGATATTCGCGGGCTCTGACTGCCCCTGGTCGGCGGGGATGGTTTCCCCTCTCAACAAGCAATCCTATGTCTCCAAGTTTCACAAATGCAAACGTTAAGCGCTTGGGAAATTTTAAAAATCATAGCTCTATCTAAGTGATGAGGATGTAAGTACTGCCGTTTGAAAGTTTACGGAAACACACCCCAAAGAACTGGACTTACCGTGACTGCCCTGGAGGGTCACGCAACTCAAAATAATTGCGCGCGGTGCATCCAGATGGCACCAATCACAAACAGGCAGCATCCAGGCCCCAGGAGGTCGAGATTTGGTGGGGCGCGAAGTAATTTGTGGGGCACCAGGGTAACTGCTCTGTTACTAGGTGTTCGTGAAAGGGTTAATACATAGGCGGTCACAAACAGGGGCTCGCCATCACAAAAAGTCATATGGCTATCTAGATATCTATCACAGATGGTCAGAAAATCCGGTATTTCATCACAGATGGTCACACGCTGCCCTGACGAAACGTGAGGTGTACAAGCTGTAACGGCCTTAAACTGTTGAGATTCATATATGTTTGACTGGCGACTAGTCTTATCATATATGCGTAGTCTGGTTATGTCCGTAGCGAGTCGAGGAGGCGAAGGTTAAAAAAACATATATGAAGCTAGGCAGTCGACGCAGCCAGATCTATGTTAAACTTATGTTTATGATATAAACTGTTTGCTGCAGTTATTTCCTGTAGGTGGTGCACCTCCCTTCTTTCCTATATGTATCTTCTCTCCATATTGAATCCTCCTCTTTGGCCAATTCTCCATCTCGCTACTTTCCTTACCAAACCCTAGTCACCTAAGTAAAACCTTATCTCGACATGGTATCCAGAGCAGGCCTTTCATAGGCCTCATAATTTTATTTGCTGCGATCAGAAATTGATCGTAGCCCAGGATCTACCCGGGAAGGTTCGCACGCAGTGAGATAGTTTGGTGGGCCCTTGACCTCAATAGCAGAGTGAATGTAAAATGCTTTGAGATTGAATTAAAACATGCAAATACAAGAAATATAAATATGAGTACAAGGGAATACGAAACGACCTAACTAGCCATGTACTCTAAGGGGTGCATTCCCTTATTCAAATTCATTCCCAACCGTGCGGCACGTACAGTTTCGTAACTGTTCCCGCCAAAACCATCCTGCCTGAAGCTGCCCGATGCCATCTGCTCCGACGGTCCAGATGCGCTGTAACCGTCTGACTCTTCGGTTCGATTCCAACTGTCTGACGGTTCGCGTCCATTCCCGATATTGTCTGCTTCTTTTGCTGCGGTGAGGAGTGCACAGTAATATCAACTATTACTTATTCGTAACACCCCCCTTCACTCCTGGCCGTAGCTCGATTTGACCTGCTTGACCACGCCGCTGAGTTCGGAGCAGTGCTGATACTGCTGGCGTGGCAGTCGCTTCGTGAGGAAGTCTGCTGCCATGTCACCCGTCGGGCAGTAGGTCAAGTTGACCTTGCCCTTGTCCACCTCGTCCTTCACGAAGAAGTACCGCAGCGCGATGTGCTTGGTGCGGTTGACGAAACCAGGTTTGTTCGCGATGCGAATCGCGCTCTGGTTGTCGCAGTGAAGGTGGAATGTGGGCGAAGTTGGAATTTTCGCCTCTTGCAGAAGCTCATGCAGGTAGAGGCCCTCGCGAACTGCTGCGGTTGCTGCGATAAATTCCGCTTCGACAGATGACAGGGCAACCAACTCCTGCTTCTGCGAATTCCAGGAGATTGGTCCCGTTGGCTCGAGTCGGAACAGGAAGCCAGTCCTGGACCGTCGATTATCGGGATCTGCTGCGTGATCGGCGTCCACGTAGCCGATGAGGTTGAAAGATGGGGTTGGTGCAGTTGAGTAGCACAACCCAATCTTGGGCGTTGAAACGAAGAATTGAAGGGCGCGCTGCAGGTCCAGGAGATTCTCAGCCGTTGGTTTGCGTGAGTACTGCGCAAGCTGACTTGCGATGTACGAGAGGTCTGGCCTGCAGGTGACAGAGGCGAAGAGAAGGCATCCCAACTGCTGCTGGTAAGTCTGAATCCCAGCAGGGGATAGGGCTTTGTTGTCAGGTTTGTGGTTCGGTCCGGGGGTTCGGTAGGGAGTTGAGAGGGGTGCAGGTGAAATGTTGAACCTCTTCCCTAACTCCTCTGCGTACTTAGCCGCTGAGAGGTGAATGGCCTCAGGTGCGTAGGAGATGTTGAGGCCTAGGAACTGCTTCACCTCGTAGTTGCACGTGATGTCGACGCGCCCCGCCAGAGCCTTTTCGAACTGCTCGAGAAGCTCGTTGTTTGAGCCTGTGTAAAGCAGGTCGTCGACGTACACCGTGAGGAGAATGTATTCGCCGCGGAAATCGCGGCGGTACATTCCTGGGTCGTGCGGCATCTGCTTGAACCCGATTTCAAGCAGGATGTTGTGCAGGTACTGCTGCCACAGCCTCGGTGCCTGTTTGATGCCGTAGAGTGACTTTCGCAGCTGACACACGCGCGCGTCTCCTTCGCCGTAGGTGTGTGGCTGCTCCACGTAAATCACGGCGTCTACTAACGCGTACAGGAACGCGTTCTTCACGTCGATCTGGCGGAGTGGTAAGTGCCTTGCAGCTGCGATGGCGAGCAAGATGCGGACGGAGGTATGACGGCTAACTGGGCAAATGTCTGGTCGAAGTCGATCCCGTGCCTCTGATCGTAGCCGCGAACCACCCAGCGCGCCTTGAAGCGCTCAATCGTTCCATCCGCTGCGGTCTTCACGCGGAAGACCCACTTCCCCGAGAGAATTCTTGCGCCCTTGATTGCTGCGCGGTCGACGAGCACCCAGGTGTCTCGTAACTCTAATGCCTTGATTTCCGCGTCCATCGCCTCACGCCACTCCTTGCTGTGTGGTCCAGAGAGAGCCTCGCGCGGGTTTCGGGGCTCGATGACGCGTGGCGCTTTCGAGGTTGCAGCGTGAAGCCCAAGCAGCTGCAGCCTCGAAACGGTGCTGTCGTGTCGACATTGCGGGATGACTTCCTGCACGTCGTCGTCATCGCTTTCAGGTTCAGGTGGTGCTGGTGGTGCTGCTCTTCCGCCGCTTTCGCCTGTTCCGCTTCCGCCTACTCCTCCTTCCGAGGAGTTATCGTCGTCGTCGTCGTCGCTGCGCCGGTTCTCCCATGCGAATTCTCCCCTTGTGTCCTGCTCCAGGATTGCTGCAGCGGCTTCGTCTTCAGGCGTGGCATAGCTGTGGCCATCGTTGGCGTAGACGCGATTTGCGTTCGTTTCTTGGTCGCGGCGGAATTGGTCGAGGAAGAGACGCTCGTAGAAGATTACGTCGCGGGCATGGACGGTCTTCTGGCTGAGGAGGTCCAGCACGGTCCACGCCTTGTATTCGTGGCTGATGCCGAGGTGAATCCCCCAGCGCGCGCGGCTGGCGAACTTGCCGATGGTTGATGTAGGCGGGCGGTATTGAACCATGCATCCCCACACGCGGAGCATGGAGGTATCCCCTTTGGTTCCTGTCCACTTGACGTGTGGAGACAAGTTGCCGGTAATCGCGGTGGTTGAAAGGAGGTTGTGCACCCGCACGGCGTGGTGCATCGCGTAAGTCCAGTAGATCGGCGGCAGTTTCGACTGCTTCATCAGCGCGCGCACCTTCGTCATCAGCGTGCGGTTTGTCCGCTCAGCTACGCCCTGCTGCTGGTGCGCGTAGGGGAGGGAGATGTGATGCTCGATCCCCTTTTGCGTCAGGAATGTCTGCATCTGGTTGCTCCTGAATTCTGCCGCGCCGTCAGACTGCCAAATCTTGAGCTTCTTTCCAGATTGCCGCTCCGCGTGCGGCAGCCAGAGGCGAAATACCTCGTAGGCTCTGTCGCGCGACTCCACGTTCACGACCCACACGTAGCGTGTTCCAGCGTCAATGAAGGTGAGAGTGTATAGCTCGTCCTCGACTCCGCAATGCCCCACGTTCAGGAAATCGCTGTACACCTTGTGCAGCTTGGGGTAGCGGTTGGTTCCAGGTTCGAGTAGCGGGAACGGTTGGTGGCTCAACGCAGCTTCGGGGCAGACGGTGCAGTTGCGCGGATGTGTCGCGCCACTCACTTCGGAGCCATCAGGGCGCAGGAGTGCGCCAGGAGCGAAGACGCCAGCGTCGATGCAGTTTTTCAGCGTCGCGCGGGAAGGATGTCCGAGGCGCTGGTGCCAGAGTGCATCGTCAGCGCGAAAGCCGGAGGTGTGCATGTAGCGCGCGCGCACCTCCTCAGGGTCTTCGTCAGGTGCGGGAGCAGGTTCTGCTGCTGCTTCCTCTGCTTCTTCTTCTTCTGCCGTGGTAGTCAGTATCAGCGCCAAGAACTCTGTGTCGCGAATTTCTGAGAGCGGAATGTTGGTCCCAGGGATGGTTCCAGGGACAAGGGTAGGTTGGCGTGGTTCAGGGGCAGGTCCGTAGACAGCGCGACGCGGGGTTGACGGTTCGTTGCCCCAGATAATGGTATCCCACGGGTCGCGATGCGGGGGAATGTCTGCAGGAGGTGGTGCGAGCGGGATGTGGCGCGGGGGACGACCGAGAGGAACGACTGCAGGTGCTGCTTCGGTTTCCGCGGCTTCTTCCTCTTCCCCCCTTCGTTCTTCGCGGGTAGTGCCCCTGTCGCTAGTGCCGGCTCCAGATGCGGTGCCCCATCCGCCGCTCGCGTTGGCCCAGGTTCCGCCGTTGTCTCCCCATCCGCCGGTGTCGCTAGTTCCCCATCCTCCAGCGCTCCCCCACCCCCCTTCATTAGAGGCGCTCGCTTCCTCCTCAGCTCCCCAGGCGGCGCAAGCGAAGGTCCCGCG